AGTAATTTGATCGATTATGGAAATTCAAGTTAAGGCTTAATCCAAACAAGTGCACCTTTGGGGTGTGATCTGGAAAGTTACTTGGTTTTATTGTAAGTCAAAGAGGAATTGAAGTCGATCCCGACAAAGTAAGATCAATACAAAACATGCCAACACCAAAGAATGAAAAAGAAGTCAGAGGGTTCCTTAGGAGATTGAACTACATTTATAGGTTCATTTCTCATCTCACAACTACTTGTGAACCCATTTTTAGATTGTTGCGCAAGAATCAAGAAGTACATTGGGACGACAACTGCCAAGAAGCCTTTGAAAAAATTAAACAATATCTTCAGGAGCCACCAATCCTTGTTCCACCAGTACCTGGGAGGCCACTCATTATGTACTTGATGGTATTGGATGGATCTATGGGTTGTGTGCTTGGACAACATGATGAAAGGGACGTCAGGAGGATACCATTTACTACTTAAGTAAGAAGTTTACTGATTGAGAATCAAGGTATTCCCTTCTTAAGAAGACTTGTTGTGCTCTCGCTTGGGTCGCTCGAAGTTTGAGGCAGTACATGTTGTCACATTTAACACTCCTGATTTCTGAGATGGACCCAATAAAGTATATTTTTGAGAAACTAGCTCTCACAAATTAGGTGGCACATGTTGTTATTTGAATATGACATTCAATATGTTACACAGAAGGCTATTAAAGGTAGTATTCTTTCAAATTATCTTGCTCATCAGCCATTGGAAGAGTATCTGTTAATGAAGTTCGACTTTCCAGATGAAGATGTTCTGGAAATGGACGAAGATGGAGAATCCAAACCAGGAGAGTGACCGACTCTCACGTTCGATGTTGCGTAGAATACTTTAGGCCATGGCATTGGATATACCTTTCACATCCAAGTTATGCTTTGAATGCACGAACAATATTGCAGAGTACAAAGATTTTGTTATGGGCCTCGAAGCAGCCATTGACATGAAAATTAAGATCCTTGAAGTATTCGGGGATTCTGCTCTAGTCATACATCAAATACAAGGTGATTAGGGGACACGACACTCCAATTTAATTCCATATCGGAATTACATTTTGGAACGGTTTCCCGCTTTTGAGGAAATCACCTTTGAGCATATTCCTATAGAAGAAAATAAATTAGCAGATGCTTTGGCTACCCCGGCGTCCATTTTTAAAATCAGGTATTTGAATCATGCACCTGACATCAGAATTCATTGTTACAAAGAACCAACAAATATCTTTCCTTCTCATTATCTCTCAACTAAAGACATGTCTGAGGAAAAGCCGTGGTATTTAGACATCAAGAGCTATTTTGAAAAACAAGAGTATCTTGAGAGTGCCACAATTTGTGATAAGTGTATGCTTATGAGGTTGGCATCCAAATTATTCTTGTTAGGAGAAGTAATGTACAAAAGAAACTATGATTCATTTCTGCTCAGATGCATGGATAGAAACGAAGCAAAGTTGAACATAAAGGAAATCCATGAGGGATCTTTTGGAACACATGCCAGTGGTCATGCCATGGCCAATAAAATTATGCGGACAAGTTACTTTTGGTTAACAATGGAATGCGATTGTTGTATGTACACAAAGATGTGCCACAAATGCCAAGTATATGCTGACAGGATTCATGTTCCTCCTACTCCTTTAAATGTTCTAACTTCTACATGGCCCCTTGCAGTGTGGGGAATTAACATGATTGGAATGATTGAACCTAAAGCTTCCAATGTACATATGTTCATTCTTGTAGCTATCAAATACTTCACCAAATGGGTTAAAGCTGCTTCTTACAAAAATGTAACCAAGAAAGTCGTCACACGCTTTATCAACAAAGAAATCATATGTCGTTATGGGGTTCCCTCCCAACAAGATCATTACTGATAATGGTTCAAATCTCAACAACGACATGATGAAAGAGTTATGTGAAGAATTCAAGATTGAGCACCACAACTCATCACCCTATCGACCAAAGATGAAAGGCGCTGTCAGGGCAGCCAATAAGAATATAAAGAAAATTGTCTTGAAGATGGTAAGAACATACAAGGACTGGTATGAGATGTTACCCTTTGCTCTACATGGGTACATAACTTCAGTGTGCACTTCAACTGGGGCAACTTCGTTTTCACTTGTTTATGGTATGGATGATGTGCTTCCAATTGATGTAGAAATTTTATCATTAAGGATTCTGACTGATATTAAGCTTGATGAGTCAGAATGAATCCAGACGACGCTCGATCAACTTAATATTATTTAAGATAAATGATTAACTGCTATTTTTCATGGTTAGTTGTGTCAGAAACAGATGAAGAAATCATTTGACAAGAAGATTTGACCTCGAGAGTTTCATACAGGAGATCTGGTCCTCAAGAAGTTCCTCCACCATAATCTGACCCCAGGGACAAATGGGCTCCCAACTATGACGGACTATACAAAGTGAAGAAAACACTTTCAAGAGGTGGTCTAATCTTGACCGACATGGATGGGGAAGACGTTCCACTTCTAGTTAATTCAGACTCAGTCAAAAAGTACTACTCCTAAAGAGACCCACTGAGTCAAAAACCCGAAAGGGCGATGTTATACCCCAAATTTTCCCCCTAAGATCCTTTGTCATCTACAAGCATCACAAATATTTTCCTTGGTAAAGTTCTTCAAGATACAAGGCCATTTCTTCATCAATGGTCACTAAAGGATCATGAGTTAGGGTTTTGCATAATGATAATTTCAAAACAAGGAATGGGATTTGAGATTTAATCACGAACATGGGTTCTCTTTGGGGTGCTATCGGTTACCAGATGGATCTTGAGGGTTTGGTTTCATGACATTCATGTGGCGCACTTCACAATTAAGTTTTGTGAATCATCATGAGAAGACTGGTTCATTTGGTTATGTGCTTTACAAGGAAATGTTATGGATTTGATACAACATCATCTCAAAGTCAAGTTTAAGCTATTGGGACTTTCATATATGGATCCATTAGTGCAAACATGGAGTGAAGTTTGATTGAGATTCAAGATTCTTGGTTTAAACAAGGTTCATAAAAAATTCAAGTTTTATTCGAGATTCATTCTATATTGCAAAATCAAGAAGAAAGCTCTAAATATCAAGGGGCGAATTGGAAGAAATTTTGGTATGTTGGTATTTCCGTTCATTGATACTTTCGAGTCATGATAAGCATGAAATGTTGGAAAATTAAAGAATATTGCAAGATCATAGTTCAAACACATTCATCATTAAAGTCCATAATATCCATCATTATTCTATCAACAATATTTCAGGATCAAAGAAATGAGCATTCAATTACAAGTTCAAAAGCAATTGAGAGAAATTCAAATTTAATTTGTAGGAGAAAAGCAAACACTTTTTGAATACTTGAGAATATTGATATTAAATTCAAAAGATTTCAAACTACATTCATAGTCAAGAGCTACAATGTCATTCAAAATGTCAAGAAAATCTTTTTCAAAATCCATCCAAATTTCATCCAAACCGCCTCATTCAAAGTTCAAGTGTTAGAGTACACCATTGTCCTTTACAAACTCAAATCATTACACTAATAATAAAGCAAGAAGCTCAAATTACAAATATCATGGACAGTGCAAGAATTTGCAAAAGACCACATGTGAGAATATGAAACCCAGCTTGACATGCTCTCCATCTTCATGCCATCAACCAAAATTAGTCCCTTTCTTCAAGCCGTGGCCTTGGTCCTTCCATATAGATTTTGAAGCTCTTCATGGTTACGTGATTTTCATTAACCTTATGCTCTGACCTGTCCGAAGAAACAGCTAGCTCAGCATCCAATAATCCAAAACAATTTGATGTTAATCTAATGTTGTTGAAAACTAGTCCATTCATTGCATTCAACCAAAATCAAATAAAAAGAAGCAAGTATAGTTCAACAAAGCAGCTCCTACGATAAACAACTAAAAAAAACCAGTTCAAGAAAGTTGCAATCCAAAAAAAACCAATTAACCAGACAATTATCCATACCATTTATATACATACACCAAACACCATTCATGACATTGTAATGCTCTAGTTCATAAGCAGATCACTAGGTCATTTCAAGTCTAAGTATCTAGTTTGGAATTCACACTTACCTACATGCTTTGAGCTTTAACCATATGCAGCGACATACTGCAAGCGGCTCACCAATATACAGTGCTTGTATACCAACTGCTGCCACGTTATTGTCATGTACAACAAATAGATCACACCAGTCCTGCAACTTGAATAAACAAATCAGTAGAATGCAAAAGCAGAGGAATTAAACTCTGGAGAATAACCAAAGACCATAATAGAGAAATCTTAGAAAAATGGTTAAGTTAGAAAATCAGAAGTTGCAACAAAATAATTTTCAACTTAGAAAAATCAAATTCACGATATATCAATACAATAAATCAGAAGGGGAATACACGCTTATCAAAAATATCAGAATTTAACAGCTCAACAAGTTTCCCACAAAATCAGAATAATCCCCACCCTTCAATCATATAACAAACTTTCAGATCAACGCCTAAGATTAATGCAATCCTAACAAACTCTAACAACACAATATAACAAAAAATTTACCTTTTCATGACTCGTTCTTCACCAGTTGGAGAATCACGAAGAAAAACTCCAGAAATTTCTCCCTATACTCTCTCTCTTCCAACCGCATTCTCCATATCAAATCCATAACAGAATTAACTAATTCTTTTGCAACTGCTTCATCCTCCATCAAACTTCATCAACTTTTGAACTAAACTCTTTATTATGATTCCTCAACCTTCAACCTTCAACAGAAAAAAACTGTACCAGCATATCTTCACTCTGCAATAGAATTCCACTGCTTTATAACATATTTTCTAACAGAAAAAGGAGGAGGATTGACAACATAAATTCACAGAAAGAATCGAGAGTCACCTCAAGTTCTTGCAATAATGATAGATCCAATTCATTCATCACATCTATAATTTCCATCACAGTGCTTCTCTGCAATTATCACCATCACCAATATGCAAGGTTCAACATCACACAGCCGCAACAAACGCCTTAACGCAATCACACAGTTTTCCTCAAAGATCTTCATCTCTTCCTGCATTAAGAACACAATATCAAGGTATCACGTAAGAACAATTACAGAAATGCAGAATCGCGGAAGAATAAAAAAGGAAATGGACACCTAAGCACTTGGAGCCTCACCTCTGGTTTTCTGTTGATTAATTTCAAAACTACAAATCCAGAGAGTGACATGGAGACCGAGATGACGGCAAATCAGAGAAAACAAAACGTGGAGTTAAATCAAAGGAGAAGGAGATCGCCGGGGTTGAAAGACATATGCGAAGTAGTCGTTGATGAAGAAGGACCGAATCGAAGAAGAGGACCACTGCGCTTTGTGAGGGAGATAAAGAGACATATTTTCTCTCTTAACCATAATATAATCCATTTTCCATTTTTTAATTTTATTCTTTTGTTCAACTTAACAAAAAAAGAATAGGATAACAGGTTGAAACATTTTTTGAAGGTAATGATGGACCGGTGACTTGATGGACCGAAAATCCCTTCCTTAGGCCCATGCGCATGTTTTTTTGAAGACTGGATGAATTGAAGCCAAAAAAGCTTATAGACTCATTGGGCCTAGCGCCTGAAGCAATGTACTCACCCATAATCCCTGATTCAACATACACTCCCCTGTTCTACACTAATTCTCATCTTGTTCTCAAAATTTTAGCAATTAGTCTTTTAATGTTTCTTGTACAATTTTTGGCTGAAATTTTCTGTGAATATTAATATGTTGATTCCTGACTTGATGATATTTTTTTCATAATTTTTCTATTTATTTAGGAATTAATTGAATTAATGGTTGGGGCATGATTAGAATTAGGATTTTAGCGTATTCTTGTCGATTTCGTATCCTCGATTCAATTTCCTTAGCATAATAAATGGTTTAATGGTAGGTTCTGATCCTTGAAGGGATGCTTGAGTTGTTCTCACACTTCCTTTCTAATTGCTAACCCAGTTGGTGTATTTTTGTGCAAGCTTCCAATAGAGATTTCTTGCACCATGAGACAATAGTAGAGTATTTTTCATCATATAGTTTTGTATCTTCGTGCAGTATTATCACATGATGATTCAGATGAATGTGATTTGTTTTTACATGGGGCTTCAACGCTTATCTTTTACGTCTAATTTTTTAATTATTTCTCTTTGGTTGATGCAAAGCTTGCATGAAGTTTTTCGGGTTTCTCTGATTTGTTAGCTTTGGTATGAACTTTTATTCGTCTGGTATTTTCTCTTGTTTATCTCATTTCAGCATTTCATTGCTTTCTAGAGATCATGAGAAGTAGGAACTTTATTGCTTCCCGATTCCATGAGAATTAGGGCTAGAGATGTATGATGGGGGTCTCCGTTGCTGATCATGTCCGCAACCCCTCTGATTTGTTTAAAGACTCGTGTAGGGAAATTCTGCATTATATGCATTGTGTGCTATTTGTGTTTGTTTAAAATCCTACCTTTAAAGTAGGTATTTCACACGTGTGTTTACATTTGTGCCCGCATTATATTACAGATGATAAGTCCTCAAAATGAGATAAGTGGGGAGGGTTCGCAATCGACCCCCGCACATTCTAGTCCATATCATCCTTAGCTCACATTGTACGTCGATGCTTCAGAGTCGTGCATATCATGTGTATCGAGTTGGTCAAGTGGAAAAGGGATTTGTAATTGATTCCCCACACTTTGTCAATAGTTTGCATTGGTTGGTGCTGATACTCCGTGATTATTCATATTGCCTTTTGTCACCTACCTCGATCTTCTATATCTTGGTTAGGTGCTCAGTCGCTTTGGACATCAAAATTTTGTTTTACATTTGTCTCCCGCTTGTTTGCTTTGGGTGATCCGTTCTTCTTAGCTAAAACATTTCTCTTGTTTCCATTATCCCTTTGAGTTAGTATGTGCTACTTATGTTTGAGTGCTTTTGCCAAAGCATCTGTTTGCTTATTTGTTTGCTATACTGCGTTCCCTTAGAATAGGAATTTGTATGCTTCCCTTAAGATCGCTCGATTAGAATATCTTTCTAGCTAGACATTAGGATAGGTATCCATGCATGCTAACATAGTGTAGAGATTTCTCTTTTCCATCCTTGACATAGGGCCATCATTGTATGATAACACTAGGTTAGAGATAGGTTAGTCTCCCTTAGATGTTTTCTTCCCATTTTTGCGTAATTGCATTTACAGTTAAAACTTCTTTTCTTGGCAAATGTATAAAATGTGATAAACATATAAAAAATACCAACCAATCCATTTATTTTCGCGATTCAGCTTTTCACTTCTAAGAACGTGTTGATTCCTTTCTACTATAGTGCGTGAGTCTCAATGGTCGAGCAGCGGTGGAAAGATAGAGTTAATCATTGTTCATTTAAAAATACAAACAAACAAAATTTGTGAGCTGAACTACGGTGCTCTGATTCCTTAAAAGGGATACGTAAGCATCTGGTCACGGGGCTCAGCTGAGCGAAAATTTGTAAATATTTCCTTCTTTTCCGCGTGTTTTCTCTGCATGCATTCCCTCTTATTTTTTTATAGCTCTTAAGCATTAGATTGAACATACTCTTAGATTAGAACAACAAGAGTGAACCCCGTAGAGTACTGCGTACGTGAGGGGTACTAATACCTTCCCCTTGCATAATCGACTCCTTACCCAATCTCTCGATTGCAAGAACTTGATTTCTCCCTTCAGGTTTTCTTTGATGATTTTCCTTTCCCTTTATGTGGGATAAATAAATACTTGGTGGTGACTTCATTGATTTTACCACTACAGAAAAATGGCGAATTTGTTGGGGATGTCGACTAATTGTTGTTCCATCCAGTGAGTCAAACCTAGCTCTTGTTTTCCTTTTCTTTGGGTGTTTATATTTATGTTTTATAGCTTATTCATTTGTATATATCTGAGCATATGTTTGCATTTCATTTTATTACTTTCCATATTGGTTAGCTGTTGTGCTGGATTCTAGTTTTCCATGTCGGGTGGGTGCTACAACAGGGTAAAAGGCCCAATACCTAGGCCAAGTGACAACCATAGGAACCCTAGGAATAAAGTGGAATATGAATGGCTAGTTGACTTTGGTTTGCTAGTATGGTCATGTCATCCATACTCAGATGAGATTACAAATGAGGTGCTATCGTTTCACGTATCTGTTTCGACGATAGTGGCTTCAGGTGTACCTATGACTCTGAGTTACCCTTGCTTTACCCTGACCTAGTCTTGACCTGTGAGTGGGGAGCGAATAATCTTTACATGTACAAATGGTGACTATATATATGTTCTATTGGTGACTTTGGTTCTTGGTATTATGAATTGGTCCGAACCTTTAATATTACTACATGTGACTGTGGTTCTATTATCAGTTTAACAACTATCCAGTATTGCGGAAGTTTTGATCCTACATGTTTGCATACATAGCATGTTAATGTAATTATTAGCATACACATTGATTCATTTCCGAGCATCATTTCTTTGATTCTAATTGTTAAGCCGCTAAAAAATAAATATTATTAAGAAAAATACCATGGCTTAATAATAGGAATCAAAGCGTATAAACTCTTGGAAACGAGAACATAACATTCGTGTTGCACGTCATGCATCATGTTGCATTTAATTATGCATTTCATGGGTTTCCCAGAAGTCTTACCCATGGCCCTTTAGTCTTTAGAAACAAATTGTCTCACCAGTACAACACTCCGGCTAATTCGAGAAAGAAGACGGAAAACATTAAGCAAGAGATCGTTGAACTCCTCAAAGAGGTAACTACTTTGAAGGCTGGTATGGAGTATCTAACTACTTTGGTTAAAACTTTGGTTGCCACCCAAGCCAATCCTTCTAAGAAGGAAGAAGATATGACAAAGGTGTTTATAGAAACTCTGAAATCATTCTTTCATGAGAAGGTGATAATCAATGCACCGAGTGTTTTCCCTAAAAAGGTGAATGTGGGAGTGCCTCTAGAAGAGGATGTCCGAAAAGAATGTTTATCTGAAGACAGTGGCACAACTAGTGGTATGAAGAAGTTTGATAATAAGAGAACCATAAGAAGAAAAATCATCGTCAGAATCAACATGTTTCTTCCGTCATCCCTATGTTCAATTTACCTCCTATTGCTCCAGTTTTTCAAAAAATCAGCAAGTTTCTGATCAGAGGAAAACTCAGTTTGATCCAATTCCAACTACCTATACAGAGTTGTTCCTATCCTAATGCAGACAAATTTGGTTCAGACTCGACATCCACCGAAGATTCCTGAGAAGAGTCCTTGGTACTACAAATCTAATTTGACTTGTGCCTTTCATCAGGGATCCCCTAGGCATAATATCGAACAATGTTACCCATTGAAAGCTGAAGTCCGGAAATTGGTCAGAGATGGTATCTTGTCATTTAAGGATATTTGTCTAGAGGTTCAAGAAAAGTCTTTACCGAAGAATAAACGTGATTGAAGGATACCCTGGAGTTTAAGGAGGATTAACCTTCTCAGTTTACTAGAATTTTACTAATTTCTCATTTGTATTTTTTCTTTTCTATCATTGCATTGTTTGTATGTAAGAACTTATTACATTTCAATGACTATCTTAATACAATGAACATGTTTGTCTTAAAGAAACCCATTTGTTTCACTCGTATTTGTTTTCAATTTTAAATTTCTTTTTGTATTATGATACCAACTTGTTACCAATTCTCTTGTCTAGGCACAAATTGGAGGGAGGATGATGAATTTAAAACGCAAAATTTCTGGTTGTATGCTTTTGAAGAAAACCCTGTTGACAATGTAAAGGCATTGTTTCAAATCCCCAAACACCAGAGATATAATGGAGTGAAACCCTCGTTAACCCCTTTGAGCCTTTAAGTAGGAGTTTCTTTTTTATTCTGTAAAAAACCATCATTTATAACCCAGGACAGGGTAGTGTTAAGTTAATTTGAACGAGTGTTCGGAACTCATCAGAAATTCGCATCTAAGGATACAACAATGGTTATCCATCAAAAGGTTAAGGAAAGTCAAAACTGAAATGGCTAACCTTCACTTATCAGAAGTGTGTGCCAATTGATGATATCCCAAATGATATCTCTCGCACATCAGGAGGTCAATAGTTGACGATACAACAATGGTTACCCCCTTATCTACCAAGAAATAAGATAGTCACAATTCTTCCAACAAGTCAAAATGACTCGAATTTACGCGACGTGTTCAAAAGGAAAGAAAGAATAATATAAAAAATGATGAAAAAATGAAATGAAAAAGATATGATGAAAGAAAGAGACTAAAAGACCCACTAAGTCGAAACTTGAAAAACAAGTCGCTTAGGCCACAGTTGGGGCATCCCGCTGGACTTCATAATCAAATTCAAAAAGAAATTGTCCAGGAAAAAGTTAGGGAAAACAATGGAAAGCCTGAAAGGCGAGAAATTATTACAA